TACTCAAAATTCTGTACATGTATGTATATTTATCTTTTTTAAGTAGGAGGAAAATAATTGAATGTATTCTTTTTCTCTCATAATCGGGATAGATCTCGGACCGAAACCTAGATTAAACATGTAAAAAACCGGATATCCTTCAAATATATACGTCTTTTCTCCAAGCATAAATGCTCCTACTACTCGAATTGAGTTTCCATAATTCTTAAGCATTTTCCGTAACCGAGCTAGGATATTAAAAAAAAAAATATAGGTTTTAAATCATATATATTATAGAGTAGTTAGACTAATAAGTTATATTTATAGGGCAAATAAGTATGCAATCATATACATCAGTGACATATTTGACAGTAACTAATTAATATTTTTAGCTAGGGGTACGTAATTAATGTTGCTTCTTTGATTACAGGTAAGAGTTGTAGATTGAGATGGTTTAACCAACTAGACCCGAGGATTAACAAGAAAGCCTTCACTGAGGAAGAAGAGTTTAGACTCTTAGCTGCTCATCGAGCCTATGGCAACAAGTGGGCTTTGATCTCACGTCTCTTCCCTGGTCGGACCGATAACTCCGTCAAGAACCATTGGCACGTCATCATGGCTCGACGCTCTAGAGAAAGTCAACGTCAACGTCATCAGCCTTCTACTCCGGCACCGTCAAAAGACGCCGAAATGACGGTTTCGTCCTCGTGCCGTTATAATCATGGTGAGTTATTCGGTCAACTCGGGAAGGGTAGTTACGTCAATGACGAAGATGACGACGACGATCTCTCAGCTGTCTCGACTTGTACCACCGAGCTCTCTCTCACTCTGCCTTCTTTGACTCACCAGCCTCGCTTCTTGAATTACGATAATACCCTTGCACCAGGTAAACAATTTATTTTGTATGCTTGTTTTATTATGTTAGTTTGTCTCTTTTTAAAAAGAAATTATCTTCATGACTTTCTTGAGACATGAAAATTTTGAAGTATAGAAACTTGGAATGTTTTTTTGTTCGGTTTTCGTGAATCTAATTATAATGATTTCGGTCGGTTGGTCTAGAACAGATTGAAATTTTTACTTGGTTGATCGGTTTATACATTAACTGGTATTACCCTACTAGTTTTGGTCTCAAAATTAGCTTAGATTCCCGTTTTGTAAAG